CCTGAAACATCCTCATGAGGTTGGTCGGCTAGAGGCAGTTGTGCTTGTCATCCTTGCAGTGGACCATCTTGCACCTTTTGTTGGTTTCCCCACACTGGGCCATGATCTCCCCCCGGACGGAGTCCTCCATATTGGGGCGCGGGGCTCCCACAAAGCAGAAGAGGGAGCGCCTCCTCTGCCTGCGCATCCTCCCCTGCCACTCCCGCACCTGGGCGTCGCTGGACTGGTGGAAGTAGGTCTGGTAGGGTATTGCAAAGTCATTGGGGTGCCAGGGGCTGGACTCTATGGTTGTCGTCGTCATCTTCTGACGATAAGAGGAGTGGTCCACAAAGATCACCGCCATCGATCGTTGCCGCTTTTTGACGAGCCAGGTAAACCACTGTCATTGGAAGGCTTAGCCGCTGTTCATCTTATCACGTCGCCTTGAACAAACCTGTTAGTGTTCGACCCTCCACTCTGATGAATGAAAATTTATCATTTCAAACGCCATATGAAAAAAAAAATTCACAAAAAAAAACACATTAAAACACACAAATACGGTAAAACGTCAACGACAATAAAAAACATCAAGTATATTTTTCGCATATAAAATAACTGAGAAACGTAAAATATTACCTTCAAGCTGGAACACAATCCAATTTTGATCTCAATGATAGTAAGTTTTCTTCTTCAATGATTTTCCTTCAATCTTTTCGATTTCAAATTTCAAAAATGTTTATTTTTAAGTATCTATCTTCAACGTGATTGTCTCATTAGTATACCGTATAATACAAATATATATATCTTTTAATTAACTACTGAATCCCATCAGTTATGATATTCTTCACAAGGTAAGTCTTTTGTGTAGTGGTTGGCTTTTAATCTCTCAGTAATGCTAAAGAACCAACTGTTGGCTCCGTTACGGAGCCAACAGCCAATGGGACAGTTCCATGTCGGGCTGTCCCACATGGTTCTAATGTGGGACAACCCCAGCCCCACATGGAGCTGTCCCATTGGTTGTTGGCTCCATAACAGAGCCAACAGTTGGCTTCTTAGCATTATTGTTTAATCTTTAGCACTTATTTACAACAAATAAGTACTTATCGGTTTTGTTAAGAAGCCAACAGTTGACTCCATAGTGGAGCCAACCTTCTATATACAACAAATAAACCTACCATATTAATAAAATTATATTAATGTTATTTAAGTAATCAGAGAACATGGTAGGTTTATTTGTTGTATATAGAAGGTTGGTTCCACTATGGAGCCAACTGTTTGGCTTCATAGCAAAACCGCTTATTTAAATATTTATGTTAAGTTAGGTAAAATTAAAAATAAGTTTTCATTTAATATGAGATGAGTGGACTATACTACATTGATTAAATCAAATCTATGTTAGTTATATAGGATTTGTACTTTGTATAAGATAATGTTTAATTTCTAAAGTGTTTGTTTCTCTTGATAAACAGTGAGATACAAATGTATAATGTCTATTTGTTATATAGGATTGGTACTTTGTATAAGATAATGTTTAATTTCTAAAATGTTTGTTTCTCTTGATAAACAGTGAGATACAAATGTATAATGTCTATTTCACCCTCATCCCTAATCAGGGCCGGCCCTGGGGTAGGGCGGACCGGGCGACCGCGCAGGGCCCCCTCTTACCCCAGGGCCCATTTTTAAATATTATATATATATATTAATTATATAATAAAATATTGAACACAAAATTGATTTTAAATCATAATTTTTTATTCCTTAACAAAGGCTTTTTATATTTTATCCACCTTTTAAATTTCAAAAATTAAATAGTAATTATTATTAGTGAAATTATTTTTTTTTGCATATTTTATCTTATTCTTTTAATACTCTGTTAATTTTTTTCTTCTTGCTTAAATATACAAAATGTTATTTTATGATTGCGCTATTCAATTATGTTAGTGATAGCCAATACAAGAGTTAAGTGAAGTTAACTCATTTTCCGACGAGTTTCGATTTTGATTTGTTATTTTAACTTTGTTAAATATAAATTAAAAACTAATACTTTCCAATAAAAAAAAAATCTCTATAACTATAACTGAGTATTATGTACTCCACTAAACTTAAGTCATATACTTAAAGTAAATGAACGTTTGGATCTTTGACTGCGTAATTTTTTTTCTTTGAATGACAAGAATTTTCTCTTTTTTCATTTCCGATTCTTAAGAAATTTCTCAAATATTATTTATAAAATTTAGCTATATTATTATTTTAAATTTCACTGCTTTTATTATTGCTAGTTACATTATTTTTTCTTTTCCGTTTAAGCAGTAATTGTTTTTTCCTCTTTCAATCACGGAAGAAGATAAAGGTTTTCTCCCCTTCCCAATTTCCCTTCCTCTCTCAGATGACATTTTTCTTTTTACTGAAATTGGGTAAAATGAATCATCCCTACTTAGGCTGGATTGAGTTATCCTGACATGCATGATAAAATTGATTTAATCTCAGGCCAATGGATTTCATTCGGATCCTTGTCCTAGAAGCAAATGTAGGATAAAATAGAGATCATGAGAGTTATTCCATCATATCCTATAAAACAAACGAGCCTATAGTCATTATGGGAGCAGATGGATATTCCACAGCACTGAACCTAAAAATTAACTACCAAAACAGTAGTACTACCGCTAAAGTTTGACACGGTTAAAAAATAAAAACGTTCCATCTAAACCGAAACACCATTCACTTGTGAATTATACAAAGGTGCTCAACAGAGATTTACCGTCACTCTGCTATTAAAGACGAATCTTAGTCCTAAACGTAGGCACTGTGAATTTAATCAACTAAAAAAAATAAAATCAATTTGAAGACCTTATTACAAAGCTAATTGTATTATGTTCTGCAAGAAAAAGAGCCTAAAAAACGAAAATCGTCCCACTTTCCAAGGAATCATACATAAATCACCTGAGTTGAACGTTACTGATGATACACAGAAAAGTGAAAAACTACANTGTGTGTGTGTGTGCGATCAACACGGGTATTTGATAAAATATTAAATATATAACAAAGAAAAGAAAATGTTTATATATTTTGTTGAAGTTGAAAAAAAAAAAAGGAACAATAGTTATTTATAAAATTTTTATTTAAAACACAAAGAATAATAGTTGACAAAACAAAGAATTCGGAAAGTGAAATAGTATGCACATCACAGAAAGGAGATAATAAATAGTTCTATATGGAATAGTTAAAATATACTAAATATGTGTATTTATTATGGTAATCCAAACCTAAGTTATTTGGTATAAAAAAGTAGTAATTATTATTTGAGTCATATTACAAAGCGTAATAATTTGCCACATAAGATTACGAAGCATGCGAAACTGCCACTTAGGTTGTAATTATATACAAGGGGGATATATATAAATAAGAAAAAACTGTAACAAAGTAAGTGGGAGGAAAAAATGCTTGCCAACAAGTTTAACCACTACTCCTTTTGTCTAATTAGAGAGGCATCCAGTTATCTTAAAAAGTTACAAACATTCCCTTTGAAGCTTATATGTGTGTATTTGTTTGTAAAAATAGAAATAAAAAGCGGGCTAGTTATAACTTAAAAAAATGCGATTACAATTTGTAATTAAAGAATCATATAATGAACATAATCAGAAAGTCTAACCCGGACAACTCTATCAACTGAGACCATTTGAGTTTGTACGTTCTTGTAAGAGGTGACCTGCACTAATTCAGCAGGATTTCCAATCTGGCTGCTTGTGACCTCAGGTGCTCTGGAATTAATTTCATTGTCTTGGGACAGAGTAAGATCACCAACTTCTTTATCTGTTTTCTGCTCGGTGTCTGTTAAGGCAGCTACATCTTTGCCCTTACTGGAAGAAAAATAAAATATATAAAAATAAAAAACTATAATAATAATAAAAATGGAAGTTCAGCCCAGCAACAAGTTCACATAACCATTGAATGATAAACAGGCAGCAATACAGCTAGCCGTCTCAATTGGTTGTCCAGTCCATTTGTCCTACACGACTTGATGTAACTTTCAAGTAGAGTTTTGAAGGTCCACCAACTGCATTCTCACTCAGAAAGCAAAAGCTTCTCTTATGATGCAGGAAAGACCAAACTTCGTAAAATCCCACATATTTTTCCAGTTTTAAAGCTTGCAAGGAAAAAGATTCACCAGAAGTAATTGGCATCATGTTTCTTATATAGTTCCAGATAAGACTTCCTCAACATAAAGTGCAAATAGAATGTCGACATGAATTATAAATAAACAAAAACAATACATTCTCCTCTAAATAAGTAAAGCAATTTATGCTCCAAAAGGGCTTGAGACTGCAATATTTGGGTGTTCGGTAATGCTTCAGGAATCTACTTTAGTTGAAACTTCTATCTATATTTGCGAAATAAATTTCAGCCACAAATAGAATATCACGGGACAGCTAGCTTACAAAACCAATAAAATAACCAACATAAATGCAAACTTAAAGTGTAAGCAATTGTGAGGTATAAGGCTCAGGAGAACTAACAACATGGATAATTATATTATACAAAGAAAAAAAAAATAAATAAAAAAATCAAGGCCTGTTTTATATCATACATTTTGCCAATTCTTAGGAAAGGACGCTTCAACTCAACCAACCCCCATCCCCAAAATTTACAGAAATTAAGTGAGATTTAAACATCGATGAGCTAGTCATATTTAAAAGTTTTATAGCTTTATTTTATATAATAATAATTACTCCTCAGCGCCGGGGTAGTTTAGTTGTTATTCCTCAAATATAAAATATACTCCACAATTCATCAAAACAAGAACAGAGACTTCCGACTTACGTATGGCGACGAAGGTTATATCTCTGCTTCCCTGCAGTCTGCACAGCTGGCGTGCTTGTCTGGTGCCTCTTTCTACGGCCACCGCCAGCTGTCACACTCTCCGAACGACTCTCGCTCTCATAACCGCCGTCCTCAGTCCCACTCGTCATTTTAGAAGACTGGGACTGGCGGGCCCGCTTCCGGGTAATCGTGCTGTCCCCCCCAATCTCTTCTTTTTGCCCCTCGACTCCCGATTTTCTCCCCAAGAAAGCCTCAGCATCCTTGACCACTGCCTTAACCGAACGAGTCCTGTGGATCCCATCCTTCGCAGTCTTCCGGACGTATTTGCGCCGGTCTTTTGACAGCTCTTCGGAAACCTCTACTTCTACTGTGGTGCCAGCTGGCACACTAGGCCCAGCCTTTTCGGAAACTTCAGCCTCAGACAGCACTTGGTCCAGGTTTTGAGAGGGCAAATCTTGAACTCTCTTTGTTGGGGACAGGAATTTTGGGGTGCATTTGCGAAGGAGCCAGGAAATACGTCCCCCAGACCCCGAAGATTTTGAGTCGAGCAGGTCGGGTTTCTTCTGAGCATTCAACTCGTAAGCGGCGACTTTTTCGAAAAGCAAAGATTCATCTTCGCCATCCAATTCCGAGTTGTTAAAGTCGGATAACAAATAGTCTCTTGCCATGTCCCCACAATTTTGGCAGTTTTTAAGGACGTCGAATAGCAAGGCAAATTGTCTTTGCTCCTTTCGGAATTGTTCGCGCTGCAACTTAAGTCTCTGGCTTAATAGGCCAAGCTCATTGATGTCCTTCTGTATCTCGAGCTGCTGCTCCTCGAACTGCCGCTTGTTGAACTCATTATTCTGCCTTTCTTTCTCCAATCTGTTATTTTCCAAATTAACATCTTCCTTTTCCTTCTCAACGAGTTCCTTCAGACTAGTGATATGACAATTTTCTCTTTCTTTCTTCTCCTCAAATTCTCTCTCCTTTTCCTGAAGAGTTCGCTCCATTTCTTCCCTCTTGTTCAGCATATTTGTCTCGAGATCTCGTTTACGAATCTCAAAATCTTCAATTAACTGCTTGTGCTCAAGACGGTATTTTTCCGACAACTCTGACTGCTCGTGCCTCATTCTGGCGTCAAATGATTCTCGCTCGAGATTAATTTTCTCTTTCTCGCTCTTGATGTAAGCATCAATAGCTGTTCTTTTCTCTTCCAACTGTTTGTGTACAGAATCTTTTGATTTTTCAACCATTATTTTCTCTTGCTCGAGTTGTCGAATGTCCTTCATCAGCTCGGCCCGCTTTTCATCAAGGGCCTCCCACTCGCCTTCAAATTTTTTCCTGTCTACCTTCAGCTCATCACGTTCCTTACAAACCAACTCCTTCATGTGTTTGTACTTCTCAATCTCCTGCCTCAAATTTCGAATTAAGCGGTCGTGCTCCTTCCTCTCTTCATCAACGATGCTAAGATTTGTGGTTTCTTCTTGAATTTGCAACTGCTTTTGGTTATTTTCGGATCTTATCCGCTCGAGCTCGTCTTTTAGAGCTTCCAGGCTTTCCTTTTCGGAAACTATTTCTTTTCTGAGCTTTTCCTGATTTTTCTCCTCCAGTTTGAGGGCCTTGTCTTTTTCCTTCAGATCTTTCAGTTTTGATTCAATCTCCTTCTCTTTCTCCTTGACCCTGTCCGATTTCTTTTCAAGAGCTTGCTCTCGCTTTCTCAGTTTTTCCTCCATGTGGTTGATTTCGATTGCCTTCTTATCCAAGTCATCAAGCTGGACTTTATGCTCATCTTCAAACAACTTTCTTTTCTCCTCTAATTCCAATGCGAACTGTTGTTCTTTTAAAGCTAACGATGTTCTGTGTTCATCAAGAATGTTCTGAATCTCCACCTGTAAGACGACACATACTTGGAGTCAATATGGTATGAAAATGTCTTATAAATTGAAGTTAAATAACCAGACAAAGAATCTGATAACTTACTCTCTCTCTTGAGCTCAGCTTCTCTGTCAATGCAGTCAATTCTTTCTCTCTCTTCTCTATACTACTATTCAAAGACTCAGCTTTCTGCAAGAGCAAAGCCTGATGATAAATATGCACACTAATTAAAGTTCATGCTATGTTGATAATCCAGAAACTCACCTCCTCTTTCTCGATTAGCTTAGTTAGTCTTCTATTAAGGTCTTCTTCCTTATTCTTCAGGGTCAGATTCACCAGCTCAGCTTTCTTTTGTTCTTCCTCAAGTTCCTTTTCTCTCTCCTTGATCATATCATTGAGCTGGTTAACCTTTTCCTCTCTATCGTAAATATGTCTCCTATTCTGAGAAAGTCTCTCTTCTCCTTCTTGCAGCTTCCTTTCCCACTCGAGCATATCTTTTTTATGCTTCAAGACAGTTGCTTCATGCAAATCTCGCCTGGTAAAAGATGATAACCATTAAAAAGAGCTCCCAACCAAAAATTAATAACAAGGGAGTGTCAACACATAACCATGCTTCTGGAATAGATGATTTAACTGATGCAAGAAAAAAAGTAGTTGAGAATCCACATCTTCTAATGTTTTGTAAATATAACATCATTATTGACTAAGTTCATTAGAGTTTTGGATCCAAAGTGACTTTTTTGTTTGTCTTTAAAAGTAAAACCAAAAGCAGAATCAGAGGAATCTAAAACATCCCTTCCTGGTATTCAACATTGGTTCAAAGCAGATTAAAAGCAAAAGATGGATTTTTTATATTTTAGCTAAAAAGCTTAGAGTCACTTTTTTTTTTATATATATATTTTTATTTTTTGTGATTGCAGACACTCCATAAGTAGGACAAACTTTGTTAAGCACTAATCATACTCAGAGATAAAGGACATGCGCTCCCTCTTGAGAACGCTTTCGCGTGTCTCAACTTCCTGCAATTTTCTCTCGAGTTCTAAACTTTTCCGATTTGCCTCAGCAAGCTTAGAATCAGCAGCAACAAGCTTTTGTTGCACTTCTAAAGACTTATCTTGAATGCCAGCCACGAGATTATTGGCATCAGTCAGCTTACTATCGGATGCCATCTTGATTTTCTCATGCTCAGAGCTTAGGTCACGGAGTGACCTCTCAAGCTGCCAAAAAAAGTCAGCAATAATTTGTTTGTTCACACAGGAAANATCTGTAGAGAAAATAAAAATTAACACGTGCAAGCATCAGTACATCACCTCAGACACAAACTGCCTCTCAATGTCCAAGGCCTTTCTCAGATTTGCCTCTCGCTCCTCCACTTGGGAAACTGAAATCAAGTTGGCCGTCTTTTCACGTTTAAGGATCTCCTGTGCTTCTGCAAGAGATTCCTGAAGTTCTTCATTTTTCAAGGTCCACTCTTTCTTCTCAATTAGCAGAAGACCCATATTGTACTGATAGTCGAAGAGCTGCAAAATGAAATTTAAAAAAATAAAATAAAATAAAAATCAAGGCCATACAACATGAAAGAGTAATGAATACATACAAATTCAAAGGGAAATGAATTCTACAGCTCATCATAACCCATAAAAAAAACCAATAAAAATTGAACATAGTATCAAGCATATATTACATATACAACTCTGGAAATGGGCATATGCCTTTTGAAGATGCCTAGCATGACAAAAATATGAATATATCATGCTTACTTACTCTCTTTAATACTTATGATTCATGTTAGTGGCACTGATGAAATCCTGGGACACGTGGAAGATTCTGAAGAAAACTTATGGATTTAGACACAGCATTAACAATAAAGGGAAATTACAAGGTCAATTCAATGTAACAGAATCAGCACCGACTAATACCACCACACAGTAAAATCTATCGATGCTGATGCTGAACTCAGACATGCTCGTCCGCACTCAGCAAATATCTATAGTTTTATTGATCAGTCAACACGAAACATTGGTGGCTAAACCACATATAAAAGGACATGATATTCCATCATGTCGTTAAAAGAATTTTGGATGTCGAATAATACACAAAAATGAGAAAACTGTGAAACATGATTTTCCAATAGAACCCAAAAAAATCAAAATGAACAAATCTTTCATGGAACAAATCTTTCATCCAGATTCCACAACAGAAAGCACAACATATTAGTAAGAGAAAAAATATGAGAAAAAAGGGGAGGGGTTGGATGGAAGGATTACATGGCCTATCATCATTGTACCTATAATAGCTTTGGTAGCCCAGTTATTGCACATCGATATGAACATAACAGGCAGTACTAGCAAGATAACTCAAATATGTAACCTCATAATATTGAGGTTCTTAAGATTATAGTTGCTATGTCACCACCTTGTTCCACTTGATGCATTAGTTTAGTAAGTACATTGATAAAAAGGATCATTCACCGCAAACAAAGAACATTAAAAATTACAGAAGTCCAAAATAACTTTGATTCTCTTCGTCTAACCTCTCTTTCAAGCCTTTCAACTTTCTCCTGCAACGCCTCCCGATCACGCCTTTCCAGAGCCGCCTCATCCAACAACCCCACCTCCCGAAACCTTCTCCAATCCTCCATATTCTCCACATCGTCTCTATCCGCACTATCACTCAACAACACATTTGGCGGCGGCGGCGGCGGCGGCGGCGGAGGGCCGTCGATTAGGGCTACCATCTTATCTTTGCCAGTAGAGTATCGCGTAGCACGCGCTTCACGCTTGGGTGACATTGATGGCCCTTGCCACTGTCTATTGGGAGTAAACATTCTTGAATCAATTTCTAAAATTCGCCTCCAAATATAGAAGAAACCCTAATGTCAAATCAGTGCACACTGAGGGTCAGAAGGGAAACGGCTTGTTACGGTTCTTGAAGTTGAAGGGTATGTGAAGTTTGTCGGAGAAAGATGAAAGATGCTTTCGGAACGGAATATCTGGGCACCGGCGACGGGATACCTACAAAGAGTGTGTTGGGAGAAAAAAAGAAAACAGAGTGACAGCGGAAGAAAGACGTTTGTGAGTTGTGACGCGTCTCTGTTCTCCAATAAAAGGAAGACTGTAAATTCGGCCAGATTTAAAATTTGACAAATTTACCCTTGGCCATTCATTTGTTGAATTGGAACTCTCTTGTTTAATTTTAACTAGTTGCAACCCGTGCATTTGCACATAGAGCTATATGATAAAGGAAAAAAATAATATAAAATAAAAACGACAATAAAAATCATAACATAATCATTGAAAAAAAGCATTTTAATATTCAAATTATAAGTTAAATAAGTGTATTATGTTTTAATATTAAAAATCATAACATCATCATTGAAAAAACTAAATATTATTAAACACTTCTTTATATATAACGTTCATGGTTTTTTTATCATCGGCATCTCCATCAGCACAAATCAGAATCTTTAAACCCCTCCGACCCGTTACTCTAGAAAGCGCCACGTATAATTGTCCATACTAAATACAAGGCTCTTCAATAATAGGCCGACGTGCGACAGTGATTGCCCTTGACTCTTATTGATTGTCATAGCATAGAAAACCATGAGAGGGAACTGTCTGCGCTGAAACTTGAACGGTACCCTCAAATCGGATGGTATGATTGTGAGCCTAGGAATAAGAACCTTATCACCAGCTCTGGCACCGGTTAAAATTCTGCATTCTAGGACATGGCTGCTTAGCTTAGTAATAACCAATCGAGTACCTGTCGAACTCAAAATTTGGACAATAAAAAACATATCACTCGAATTTTTACAGAAATCAAAGAAAATACAGACAATATATCGAATTTTATAGGTAACAGTACCGTTGCACAACCCCATGGAGTGATCAATGTTTCTGAGCAGCATCACTGGAGTGCCAACCTTCAAGTGCAATTTATGATTGGGAAGTCCCGAGCACTTAATCCCATTGAGAAATTCAGGAGTATGAAGATCGTGAAGATAGTCATATCCAGCATCTAACTTGCAAGCGGTGTCCGAACTCAAATAAGTTCTTCCCTCGGAGGAGTTCAATGAGCTCATGTATTCATTGACAGACTCAACAACATCAACGGTGGGAGCGAGTATGGCTCTGTGCTTCAGGTAGCTAAGATCATCGCCCGAACTCCTACACATTGAGTACGTACTCTCAACAATAGAAGTGATAGGATCCCCTTGTGATTTCAGAAGAATATCGTCGGGAATGTTAATTTCAGCGCATCCATCGTTCGATCCACCGGTAGTACCGTCGCTAATGCTTGCAAGCCAATCCGAGAAAAGCCTCAACTCATCGTACTCAGCACCCCCACCAAGGCTTCGAAGCCTCATGTTCTGAGTAAGTCTCAGAATGGTACAGTGCCGCCATAAGCTGGATGAATTGATGGTCGCATTCACTATGTCACTCCGAGTGCCTTTAGGCACAACAGGGAGTATCTGTCTGAAATCGCCACCAAATACAACAGACTTGCCGCCAAAAGGGAGATTTTTCCTCGATGGATCAACTACTTGCATTAAGGCTCATAAGGTGTTGTCAACAGCCTGGAAGCAATACTTATTCATCATCGGGGCTTCATCCCAAATGATGAGTCGACGTCGTATAATCAGTTCGGCCAATGGACTCTGCTGGCTAATGTCACATGTCGACTCTTCGGTTGGGTTTAACGGGATTCTGAATCGTGAATGCGCAGTCCGGCCGCCGGGGAGCAAAAGAGATGCGATACCGCTCGATGCAACGTTCAACACAATTTCGCCCTTTGACCTCAAACTAGAAGACAACGCCCTCCAGATATAAGTTTTACCGGTTCTGCCGTAACCATAAACAAAAAAAATGCGGCCGTGGGTACAGTGGACTGAGTCCATAATCGAGTCATAAACATTGCGCTGCTCAGCAGTCATGTTGGCAACCAATTCCTCATTCTCAATCGATAGTGCACAACGATCGTAATTCAACTCGTCCATCACAAGTCTGTTCGTTGACGCCTCATTACGATTGAGAACAGGAAACGACATTGTACCATAGTCGCGTAAACTCATCCCACGGCGTCGCAAAATCTTTTCGACCTCTGCCAAAGCGAGATTCTTTATTTCCTCATCGGTCAAGACCAATTCTGAAACAATTATATTACAAAAAATAATAAGAACAAAGATAAAACATATAAAAATGAATAAAATAAAAAAATAAAAATAATTGAATTTGTTACCTGGGTGGTGTAGAAGCCTCCGACGATTATATAATATGTCATCCGATAGGTAATGCCAACAGGCGTCCCACACAAACTCCGATCGACCGAGAGTATCGGATGAAAGAAGAGTCGCAAAAAGGTTCCTCAATGAACTTGCACTCGCCCATTGGCTTGCCTCAATAATGCCTTCTATATACTCCTTGTCGTCCTCCACCAAACCAAGAACAAAACACGCGTCGCGATACGAATCGTGTTGGACGCCATTCAACTTCATATAGTCACGATGGCATGTTGCTCCTCGAACAACATTGATAAGGCACCTCAAGTAAAATATATCTCCAGCTCCGGGGGGGACGAAGTATAAACGCGCAATCCGATTGCTTCCTTTCCTAGGCTCCCAACTATTCGTTTCTGAATGCCACGTAAATTTAGTGGGAGCCTCAACATATGTCAGTTCTCTGGCAGCGGGATACTTCTTGTTGGCCTCCATCCAAGCCAAGAATTTGCTAACGGGCTTTTTATTTTTTTGAACCACTTGATCGATCGGAACTTCATCATCGTAGTAGCAAGGATGTTCGTTTTCGAGGTGAAAATTCAAGCGTTCCACTGATGGCCTCTTATACTGAATCTCAAACTCCAACAACCGCCATGGGGCCTCACAAGATGAAACATACCGGCAATCGTAGTACATCTTCACCTCGTCAACCGGCCTGCTAAAAGACTCAGATCCAATGGACTCATAAAAGGTGGCGGTAACGTGATCATTCCCCTTGTTCACGTACTTGAACAAATATTTGATGGACCTCGACTGGTTGCACCATTCCATATTTATGTGGGCGCCATACTTTAGGAGCAATTTTCTATTATGAGGCACAACGTATTTGTTATCTAGGGGAATGCCGTTCTTTTCTATGGTCCTGCCATTATCACGACGTCTGTATCGTGGATAGCCTTCCTGATCCAGGGTGGTGGTTTCAGAGAACTTCTTGGGAAAATGCTTCGTGCAACAACCATTGACCATACACGGAGATTGTGGGCGTACACTTCCGCAAGGGCCGTGCATCATATGATCTCTAACGGCAGCATAGTAAAATTGATCGGTGGCCTCATCTGGTATTTCGGCAGATATTATTTTATCTATGCCATCAGTGGTCTGAATCTTGTGTTCTTTAGCCAGGAATAGCAAGATATGGGCATGTGGAAGGCCACGTTTCTGGAATCCAATTGTGTATATAGCTGCAAACAATAATTTATTTGGTAAAAAACAATACAATGAACACAAAAGATTTTAAATTTAAATAAAATGAATTACAAAAATATTAATATTAATAATAAGTACCTGCATTCACTTCACCAAACATCTTGTTATGTCGAACATCCCTCATCAAAGCATCCAACTTAGCCTTAAATACCCGACAAATTATATCAGGACGATCCTCTTGTTTGAGATTCTTGTTAGCGAGAAAACGACTGATTTCTGGCCACTTAGGGTTGCAAGTGAAGGTTATGAATATATCAGGATAACCTGTCCACCGGCATATGGCCATCGCGTCCTGATAGTTCTCAATCATATATCTCACGCCACACGTAAAGGATGAAGGCAATATAATCCGTTTGCCTTGAGAAGCAGGATCGGTGTCTCCTCGCAACACAGCATCCGAAAGACGACTGTACAATTCGGTTCTAAGTTTTGTTTGGTTAAAACGGATATATCTGAGTCGAGCTCCTTCGACCATTGTATATGCATCCACAACGAACTGCTGATACAACCTCCGGGCTGAGAGAATAGAAGACAATTCGCAGTCACGATCGTGCATTCGATATTTGAAGAACTCCAACGGACTGATAAATTTCCTCGACCTCTCCGTGATCGGTTTTAGGAGAGAAAATGGAATGTCCTCCCTGTAATCATCCTCGCCATATGGAAAAAGAATAGGATAATGGAGAGCCAAGTAGGAAGCGTTCAACTCGTTGATACGCTGCAAACGGCCGCTCCGATGTTCTACTATAATATCCCGGCTGCCCATAGCATCATCGAAATCACCAACAACTAATGCTGCAACTTCAGAAGTGGACGGTAAATTATAACACCGACCATCCTTATTCCTTCTTCCAATAAGTCGCATCTTAACTTCGCAATGCTCGGGTTGGTTCAACTTCTCCCTCGCCATTCTAAACGACTTAACCAGCACATTGTATAGATCAAGCATCTCTTTCAAATCACCCACTATTTACCCATCAAGATTATTTCTTTCACCACCACTCCTGAACAAAAAGAACATAGCAAACTGAATTAGTAAATAAAATGTAAAAAACGAAGCTTAAGATGTAAGTAAGAAATGTTAATGATAAAATATAATATATACCTCACAGAAGATAGCCTGTTCGATATTTCTTTCTCTGTGTCATAGATGTACAATTGAGCAAATTTGGAAGGAGCACCATGGTCGGGTAGCAAACTACCCATTAAATGGTAGTTTTGACCGTGCAAACGGAAGACGGGCGGACCGCTGCCGTTGTTGATGCCGGTATCAATCTTCCCTCCCATGGATGTAAAACAAAACATGTTGTTGTAGGATCGAATGTTTTCTTGAAAGTGCTTACTCCGGGGGCTTGTGCCGAAAATCAGTTCACGCAGGAACGGGGGAGGAGTGTAAACAGGTGGAAGTTCGATGAATCCGTGATTGCAACAACCAGAATACTTTGGAACCCTAGGGTTAGATGGCTTTCCCAGTCGCTCGACATACCAAAATCTGGCACCACAGTGAAGGTAACGGTACGATGCGTCACCAATATCCCAGTATTCTGCAAAATCATATTAACTAAATTAAATATTTAACAATTTATTTAAAAAAATAATAATGTATATATCCTACCAATTATTGGTGATACACTGTTAAAAAAATAGGGAAAAAAAATAATTAAGACGTAAGTATATCATTACCGGTGTTGATGGATGAGTGCGTAGAACCGACAGATGTAGATGAGCCTCGGGTATTATTGGGCTTTCGAGATAGATGTTGACTATGGACAAAAGCAGACAAAACATCCTCATTTGTGGGGGGAGGGACTGAGCACCTCGGACGTCCGTTCGAGGTGGCAAGTTTAATGATGAAACTGCAAAACAGTGGATTATCATTATAAACAAAGAAAACAAATATATAAATATAAATGAGAAACATTTTTTTTATTTAATGAATAAAATTAGATAAAATTATAAAGAATTTGAATTACCATTTGTGGGGGAAGGTAAATCACGCCTCGGACGACCGCCTACGTTGATCCGAGGTTGCGAATTTGATGATGACACTGCGGAAAAAAAAAAGAAATAATATTTTAATAGAAATTAGCTCAAATTTTGAATGATTGAATAAAATATATGACTTTTTTTGTTTTACCTCAAACTATATAAATTAAAGAAATTGATAATACAATTAAATTTACCATTTGTGAGGGGAGATAACGCGAGCCTCGGACGACCGCCTACATTCTTTCAAGGTGGAAAGTTTACTGACGGAACTGCAAAATATTAAATTACAATTGAAAAAAATTAATAAAAGAAAAACATCTTGTCGCAAATGAATAAATGTAATATTATATTTCATATAAACAAAAGCTTTCAACTAATTGATAATGAATTTAAAATTACCATTGCGGACATTATTAACCAAGTTTCTCGTTGGCACATTTTCATGATCGTCCATTGTAAGATCAATCAACTGTACTAATCCGCTCGAAGAAGCATTACTGATGTGAGTTATTGAACTATTTTGGGACGAACGTTGAGAATTTGCGACTGGAATACCTAAAATAAAAAAAATATATATATACAACAATAACAATCTTAAAATTAATGAGATAAATTTTTAATAATGATATAAAATGAATACAACAATAAAAAAATTACATACCAGGTTCTTGAATTGTAGAATGCGAATTATAAGTGACAATCGATCTTTGGAATGAAGGTGTTGCCGTAGGCATATCAGATAACGTACCTACAATAATTAAATTAATAGAATTAAATTATATGCTGCAATGTAGTTTTAAATTTTCAGACACAACATATAGATTATTTACATTATAATATTTTATATATAAAATTTTTTGGCAATAAATAAAATTAATCAATTATATTTGCATGAAAGTTTGTAATATATATTTCAACATTATATGTTTTCAAAATACTTTATGTAATGGTGCTAATTGACCATTCAGTCAAATTGGGCAAACCAATAATTAAGGTCAATTTTGTTTCATAAATTAATTTTGTTGTTCTATATTTTGTATCAAACTAAATTGGGTCATGTATTTATAACATAATAGTCCAAACTTTGAAAGAAACATAACAATTGGGCTATGAATCGGATTATAGCATTTAAATTATAATAAGCCCGCTGTTTTTATTTACACGGCCCAAAATTAAAAAAATAAGCTCGCTGAATATTAAACATAGACGGCCCAACATTAACATAAGCCCAGGCTTACAGAAGAATCGAGAACGGTCAACTGATGCATCATTTAAAAGTCGACGCGTGTCTAACAGGTGGCTTTGGGACTTAAATGATTCATACCCTAAAGGCGCACCTCATTCTCGCCATTTCTCTCGCCTTTATCACCTTTCTGTCGGCTATTCTCTCTCTCTCTCTCTCTCTCTCATTTATTCTCTCTACTACAGAAGCTCTATGTTCGACCATTTTTTCGCCGATAATTTTGCCACAAACACTGTTTCACCAGCGATTCAATTATTGTTTTCGTACCGATACTGAAAAAAAACTGAGATTTAATTTTTTTTCAAGGCAAAAGAGAGATGGAAAATTGAAATCGTCTCGATTTAAAAAACCGATTTACTAATTCAAAGTACTTTCGGTTCAAATCGGACGTTTACATGATAGATCTTCACATATCTACAAATTTTTTCGCTTATTTATTTATTTGTTTATTTTTTTCAAACATTTTCATAGTATTTCGATTCAAATCGGACTTTTACATGATAGATCTTCACAGATCTACAAAATCTTCACTTATTTATTTATTTGTTTATTTTTTTCAAACATTTTCATAGTATTTAGGTTCAAATCGGACTTTTACATGATAGATCTTCACAGATCTACAAAAATTTTGCTTATTTATTTATTTGTTTATTTTTTTCAAACATTTTTTCGATGAAAATCTCGTTGATGATAATAGATATGTAGTTATTTTGGTTGATTACATGGTAGATCTTTGTAGATCTACAAAGTTTCGTTTTTTGGAAATTTTTAAAGCAATTTTTCGATTAATAACATTTTGACATAACAGATCTGTACAGATCTATATTTTTCTTAGTGTTTTTTTTTAAATTTTAAAAACGTATATTATGAATTCCTATTTCTTTGGTTATAAATTTGTGTATCTTTTGGTTCCCCGAACCTGTCGTCTATCTTTTCATTATCTGCTTAAAACCTCGTATTGTTTAAGATTTTTTTTTCAGAATCGACGTTTAACACCGCTGCTGTCTATCCCCACACTTAGCTGAAAAGGTCAAAAGAAGACACACTTTCTACCAGCGAATGTAACAGATAAGTGCCTCTCAGTTGTTGCATTGCAAGATTTTTTAAAAATCATACTGAAAATATGATATATTCTAACATCTTAGATTTTGCTTTTGCAGGTCGAAAGAATCTAAGAACTTGAGTAATCCATTTGAGCTATAAAAAGCGAGGATAAGAAGCATATAGATTCCAGTTACACAATAAGAGCAAAAAAAGGTAACACTTTGAACAAAATTGATAATAGATATAGGACTCAATCTCATTGTGTACCATGTGGTGTAGAAAGATCATCCTTTTGACGTTTATTTCCAATTAAGTTGTAGCCGCTTAGCCTCTTCATGAAATTGCGGTTCGGGTCCAAAAAATAAAAAATGTTTTTTGATGGTAAGGGGTTTAATCTAATGTTTTAGAGAAACACAAAATGAAAGAAAGGGTAAGGGGTTTATATAGAAAAAAATCAGTCATTCTATTTTATTTAAGTCAATTAATGTATTCTGTCAGGAGTTAATGTAATGAATGATGATTGATATGGTATAATTTTTTTTTTTTTGTTAATCTCACAAAAAACTGATTGGTTTTTGTAATTATGTATATGAATGTGATTAAATGATCAAATATTCAATTCACAACACTGTATATTGGATTGATTGTTTTTGACTGATTTAAAAAAAAATTGTTTTTTTATTCATATTTCATAATATATGTTTGATTTTTTATTCATTTGAGGAGCGGTGAGTGGGTGGTTGAGTCGAGGAAGGGCGAGTTGAGGTCGATTGAGGTTTTTGATGCGGTTGTGTTCTGTAGTGGGCATCATACACACCAAGACTCGCAGATTTTGCAGGTAAACTAACCAATCTGTTTTTTTATTTCAGTTCAGTAAAGGTAAAAAGAAGACTATACATTGTTTAAATTGCACTTTTTAGTTGATTGGCTGTAAGTGTTCTGTATAAAAACTTTATAAAGCTCTCAAATTCAGTGTGTTGTCTGCTGTTAGAAATTGAAGATTGGAAAAATGAGTTCCTTTTGGCAATCACAACTTCTTGTATGATCTTACTTTTTAGATAAGAATGACTACTTGTAGTACCTTGTTTCATATGTAACACAGTAGTCATATTATTTAGTTAGTAATTTCTTTATAGTTGATATTTTTTTTGTTCTTAAAAACCGAAGGTATGGAAAAATTGCCTGGGAAACAAATGCATAGTCACAACTATAGAGTCCCAGAATTTTTCTAAGGTAATCAAGTCAATCATATCATATAATCCAAAATTTTTCTAAGGTAATCAAGTTGAACTATCCATTTGTTTTTTTATTTGTATGATCTTACTTTTTATATAAGAATGGCTACTTGTAGTACCTTAATTCATATGTAACACAGTAGTCATATTATTTAGTTAGTAATTTCTTTATAGTTGATATATTTTTTGGTTCTTAAAAACAGAAGGTATGGAAAAAATGTCTGGGAAACAGATGCAGTCACAACTATATAGTGCCAGAATTTTTCTAAGGTAATCAAGTCAATTATATCATATAATCCAGAATTTTTCTAAGGTAAATCAAGTTGAAATATACTTTTTTTTTTATTTCTGTTTTCTTTATTAAAACAAAAGTCATTACAATTTCATTTTGATTTTATTGCATGAAAGCTATATATATATATATTGTCAAGTTCCTGTTTGATGCATTATTTAAAGTTATTGAAGTTCCTGTTTGCAAGGTTTATGAAATGTGGAGTTGTTATGAGTTATTATGATTGCTAAGTTTTTATGAGTACAATATTTAAATATATAATAATTAAATAATAGATTCAGCTATTCTATTTTAAACATGTTGAATATAAAAAACATTAGTAAAAAGTAAACTGAAACTATTATTATTGCAAAATATTGGAACTAATTGATAGAAAACATAAATTCATAATGCAAACTATGCTAATTAAAAAACCCAAGTAGCAAACATAACTGAAATTATTCATAAACTGGTTGTCTTCAGTCATTGTTCAAAAGTCTTCAAGCTTCATTTTCTTCTTCTCTTTGGTATCTCTGTCACAGCTTGATCCTTCATCAAACAACTTCCCTATCTCTCTCTTAGATGAACCATAAGAGGTAGAGGGATCATCAAAATTTTCATTCTTTGGTCTGTTCATTTCACCTTCCGAGTGGTAATCAGCTTCCTGTGGGATAGATAAATTAATTATATCCTCAAACATAAAAATTTGATATAAATTAATGTTAAAACATAATCTATATAAATTAATATCAACCTTTGGAGGATTTGTTAAAA